TGATGATATTATATAAATCCTGCATTACCCGTATTATTTAGGGTTTAGGGTTTAGGATTTAGGGTTTAGGGTTCCCATAATTCCCATAGTTTAGGGTCCTTAAATTACAATGCAGGATTTATATCATCAACAGTATCACGGGCACATCCTACTACAAGGAAGCTGGACAAAGTAGGGGACCACACTATGAACACTTCAGCGGAAGATCCCCAAAACCCACAAAGCCCTAATATAGGGGCCTGAATAACTGGAATAGGGTTTTGCGGGGTTCCTGATTTATGCTTGTGGTATAATAGACCCCCAAACCCTAAACCCTAAACCCTAAACCCCTAAACCCTAAACCCTAAACCCTATTCTAATTATTGGGGCCGACTCTGACCTGTGATGTCCCTCATGTTCTGCAACCCGTGTCAGACGTCGAAAGAGGCAGCTCACCCAAGAATTTCTGCCACTCTCCATCTGGGTTTAGGGTTTAGGGCTTAGGGTTTAGGGTTTAGGGTATAGATAGAGCTCCTATGTAAAGAGCTCTTCAGACCTACAAGAAAGCGGTAGGTCCACTTACCCTCTCCGGGTTTCTACGCCAACATGAGATGTAAAGAAGGAACACTCAACCGGCAGCCGAAACTCGAGGGAATCCTAAACCCTAAACCCTAAGCCGGGAGCTCCAATCTCAAGGACCTCAGCTCGCAACACGAAGCCCTTCCAGAAACCCGAAGGGATCCCTCCTCCCTTCAGGGTTTAGGGCTTTTTTTCATAGGACCTTAGGTCCTTTAGGGTTTGGGGCTCAGGGTTTAGGGTTTAGTACCCTAAACCCTGAACCCTGAACCCTATACCCTCCCTCTCCTCAAAAATAGAAACGGTGCCAGCCTCCGCTTCGGTCGGCGGCCATGTCCGCAAGCGACGATCACGGAAGGCTCAGGAAGTCTGTTCCATTCTTAGGCCTGCGATTTTACCTAGAGGGTCATACCCTAACCGGCTTTTTTTAGTAGAGAAGTGGGTACCCCAAACCAGGGTAGGGTATGAACCTAGACGGAGAAGGCCGGGGACGGGCCTTAGTCATGTGACCCTGGCACCGTCAACTTACTCACCACACGAAACCCTAAATCCAACGGCATAGCCACTACATGGGAGATTCCGCAAATTAGAGGTACCTTATTTGATAATCCTTATAATAAGGATCCTACTATTTGGGGGTACTATATTAGGGTCCCCTATTTTCGGAAACCCCCACATCCTAAACCCAAAGCCCTTAAACTCTAACCACTGAGGCTGAAACTACATGCTCGAACTGTGAGCCTCGCACAGAGCTGGGGTGAGATGATCACGAGGAGATGCGACAAAGGCTAGAAATAGGGTCTGGGGGTATATTATACTATGATTTTAATAAGGAACCCCCCAAAATAGTATAGGTAACTATGGAATATAGGCCGAAGGCTCAGAGCGCCTAGTGCTTTCGGCTTAAGGGTTTAAGGGCGTAGGGTTTATAGGGCCTATAGGGTTTAAGGGTTTCGGCTTTGGGACCCTGGCGGGACAAGTTGCATCAAGATGAAGTCATCTTGACCAGGAGCCTGCTCCCTAAATCCCACGCGCTAGAGCCTCAGCGCCAAATTCTTGTAGGGGCTCATAGGGTTTAGGTTAGTGCTTCGGGTTTAAGTTTATGGTTTAGGGTTTAGGCCCACAGTCCACCATGACCGACGGTAGCCCCTTGCAGAACCTGAGGCAAACCTCCGTAACACGTACATTGGGTTACCAGAGTTTTGGGCTACATCGTCCTATGCACACATGGGGACTCGCACCGAATATCATCATTACCAATTACCAAAGCCCCAAAATTACAAGCAACCCGAAGCCACAAATCCAAAACCTCATTCCCATAAGCCCTATAGTTATTGCACCCTTGAATCCGATTATAGTACCTTTTCAAGCGGCCCTACATATACTACCTATAGTCTCCACTGTAATTCCTTTTTTGGTTTAACCAATTATACAGTAAGGACTTTAGGAGGTATCCCCAAAAAGGAACAACAATGGAGACTACAGGTATAGCACAAGGACAGACCCGGAAAATCTTGAGGGATGGAGTGCTTCCGGTTCAGAGGATGATGAGGGTTCAAGGAACAAGGCACCATCGACTCCCGTGCCGGACTTGAGGCCTGAATTGCTCCTGAAGGGTTTAGTCTTTAGGGGTTTGAGGTTTAGGGTGTAGGGTTTAGGGCTTTAGGGCTTTAGGGCTTAGGGTTTTAGGGTTTAGGGTTTAGGGAGATCTAGGGCGCCGAAACAAGAGAATAGGCAGAGCCAGTGTGGAGATCCGATACGATATGCCTAGACAAGTTGGGCAACTCACTGGCCGAACTCGACGGCTTCCCAGCTCACTTCTCAAAACCTCCGCTAGGGTTTAGAGCTTCAGGGTTTCAGGGTTAAGTGTGCTATAGGCTTTAGGGAAAACTTAACAAGTGCCAGAGTTATGAAAATACGAATAACAACAAATGCCACCCAAAAGCCCTCAACCCCTAAACCATGCAAAAGACCTCGCCATCTTTGCACCCAAAAGCCTTCCTTAGGTTTAGGGTTTGAAGAACCTTCTAAGAAAAAGCCCACCTGCAGCCCCGAAACATTCGGAAGCATTGAACAACCAAAACAGGTTCCAACCTACCCGCAGCCCGGTCTGATGCTGTCTACACTAGAATAGAAGCCAGAAAGGTTTAGGGTTTAGGGGTTCAGGGTCTAGGGCTAAGGGTTTGTAGTAGTAGCCTGAAAGTTGGAACATCATCCCAGCACTATTCATCCTAAACCCATGTTCCAACTTTGGGGGTCCACTGTAGAGTTAGTTAGGGCCAGTTTGGGTCTAAGCAGGGTTGGGGATTTGTTTATCCCCCTGGCGATTCCGCAGGAGTTGGTTGGGCATCCTCTAGACGCCATGTCGTCGTTAAAACGTGTAGCGTCCGTTCTTCGGTCGCGAAAAACCTGGATCCTAGTCCTACTAGCTCTTTGCTGCGAATGTTGTGGTGATTGTGAAGCACAGGTAGGAGTACATCTTCGTGTTCAGCGCTCCGTCCTGATAGCTGATTGAGCATCGCATTGCGGTGCCGGTGTCATGCCTTTTAGTGCTGCTGTTGCTGTTGTCGTTGCTGGTGCTCGAGCCAGCTCGTTCACTCTTGTTAGATGACAACTCTGCTGCTGAAGTAGTTCTGCCAAGGTCCTACCACGAACAGACTCGATACTGCGCTTAGGACCATCTGCCGCGACAATGACTGCGCTTGCTACTAATGCCTGGCAGTTACTCAATCAAAGCCCTAAACCCTGGGACTCCCAAATCCTTAAGAGCCACCGTCTCCCATGTATCAGCTGATGGCTTTGGCCTGTCCGGTCTTCGGATGCACAGCTCTACATGGAGACATCGCCGCGATATCGTCGCTTCTTGGAGTCAGCAGAAGGCTCTTGGATAACCTTCCCAAAGGGAAGTTAAATGTCCTAAGATGGCGTGAACTACATTGCAGTGCAACACATTCGCAACACATTCCAGTTTAATGCTAACACAACTATGCATGTCGGCATACATGCCTGCCTGCCTGCCTGCCTGCCTGCCTGCCTGCCTGCCTGCCTGCCTGCCTGCCTGCCTGCCTGCCTGCCTGCCTGCCTGCCCGCCCTACGTACCTATCAACCTACCTACCTACGTACGCACATACAACACACATACACAACATACGTACATAAGTACATACATACATACATACATACATACATACATACATACATAATTACATTACATTACATACATACATGCATACAGACAGACAAACATGCATGCATGCTTGCATGCATGCTTGCACACATGCAATCATAACTGCGCACAGGCACACATGCATACATGCGTACATACATGCATACATGCATAATGCATACATGCATATATGCTCACATGCATACATGCCTACACGCATACATACATACATACATACATACATACATACATACATACATACATCGTAGGTATGTGCATGCCTACCTCCCCGCCTGCCTGCCTGCCTGCCTGCCTGCCTGCCTGCCTGCCTGCCTGCCTGCCTTTCTACCTGCCTGCCGACCTACCTACCTACCTACCTACCTACCTACCTACCTAGCTACCTGCATACGTAGATACATATGTATGGGGAACTTTTTGGTTAGAAGTCACCCATATTTATACCTAGCTATATATGTGTATGTATATATATATATATATATGCAGATCCCTTTCGATGGCACTCTCCCACTAATGATAGTGCTCTTGCGAGGAGGTCACGGCCGTGTCGCCCCTCATCCGCCCCGCAGTCCTGGCGACCGGCCGGGAAGGTTTAGGGTGTCTGTCTGAGGTATATGGGGCCTTGAGCCCAACACACACCGCAAGATTGAAAACCAACAACTAGACCCGAAACCCTAAACCCTAAACCCTTCTGGGTTAGAGTCTGGATAGGAGGACCTCGAGGAAGCCCTGGAGATCAGAAGCCTCTATGGGCTTGGTGCCTTGCAACAGACACCAACTAATGTAGGGGCCTTAATAATTACAATGGGGTTTGGGGGTATATTATATTATAATTATAGTAACGAACCCCCAAAATCGTGTAGGTAATTATTTAGGCCCCTATATTAGACGCTAGGGGCGGCTGTTGAATGTAAGGGGGAAGGCACTACTGACACATTTTGGCAATCCATAATGGTCTCTATGGCTAGCCATACCTATAACCTACTGACCATGTGTTATTGTGGGCTCTGAAGAACAGCCCTACACCCCAAAAACGTTGCACCAACTCACATAGAGGCCTACACATACCTGAACCCTGAATGAAATCCTGATACACCTTTCGAAGCCTAAGTTCGGGTGCAGAATCGGCAAGGGTTTAGGGTAACTATCCGAAGCTTAGGGCTAGTTTGAGGGTCGGAGTACAGGGCTCAGGAGTTCAGGCCAGGTCACGTCGAGAAGTATAACTACCAGCATCACCCTAAACCCGAAACCCTAAACCGTCACCCTCATGTCTGGCACGTGCCTTCCCCAAGAGCTCCCAAAAGTGAATGTGCGTCACCTTCCGATTTGACCTGCGGTCAGCCACTCATCGGCTATAGCGGAGGGCTTAGGGTTTTGTGATTCAACACTCCGGCGTCGGCGTTTACTATCTTCCTGCAGGGTTTGGGCTTTCGGGGGGTGAGATAGGGCCATTGCTTGAGCGGCGCTCCCAAAAGGAAGGTGTGCCACAGCCGACAGACATGGCCGTCCCCAAAGCGCCTGGATACGACTCTCAGAGTCGCGCTTTGCTTGTTTGCAAATGTATATATATATATATGTAGACATATATATATATA